CGCACCACCAGCCACGTTTCCTCGGGAAGGTAACCTAAACAGATTGGCGTTCAGGAAGAAGAACCCAAAATCAAGAGCTGCACAGGCCAAGGCCTCCCTGCCTGCTCCTGTAGCCCTAGGCCACCCAGCATCCACTGCAGAACTGAAGGACGAGCCCAGTGAGCATCCCTTCCCCACACAGGCAAGGGAGCAGAGTGCTGCAGCCAGACAAACCAGGAGCAGGGCTGCCTCTTCCCTGCAATGCATCCAGGGTGCACCTGCCCCACCCGCCACATGCCTCAGCCCTGGGGGGTGCCGGGCCCTGCCCCCCTTTTCCACTCCTCCTGTGGCCCAGGATCTGAGGCAGGGCGGACAGGAGTGAGCAAAACCTCAGGGCCAGGCACCTGCTGCTTCCCTGGAAGTATCCCTACCTGTGCGGGGAGGATGGGGCGGGCACAGGAAGCACATTTGGGTGCAAACACCCTAGAAGAACAAAGGAAACCGGGCGTGAGGTGAGTGAGCGAGCGGAGACAAGGGCCCAAGGGCAGATAGCCTGCCCCCAGCGTGGACCTGCAGGTGGTACAGTTCCTATCTGTCCCTCCCTCCTCCTCCAGGACGGCCTCAGGCTCTCTCCAGCCATCTCCCATGCAGTCTCTAGCCCCTGATATCCAGACTGAAACCATCCCTAGGGGAGACCTCTGCTCCACCCTGAGTACCAAGGGCAAATGCTGGCAGCAGTCTCCAATGTCAGCAGCAGCACAGACCCAGGGCTCTGAGGCCAGAGCCTGGAGTGACAGCAAGCAACTGACTGGCTGGCCAGATGGCACCAGGCCCTTCTCCCAGGAGCAAAAGGCAGATGGTAGGGAACAGTCTGGCGAGGCCCCAGGAAAAAGGGGGGCACATGTAGGCAAAAGCAGGAGGGAACTGGTGGCCAGGCTATCCAGAAGAGGGGACCAGAGAGCACCAATGCCCCTGCCCTGCCCTTATGGCTTCAATGTGGGCATTCCCCAGCCTCATGTGTCGGGAGTCGGGACACTTGCTCCCCAGCAGACGGTGCTGTTCTGGGAACATAATGGTTGCAGCTCACTCCGGGGTCCTTCCTGGTGTCCCCATCTTCCTGCTCCTGTCACCAAAGCCAGAGCTGCCCTCAACACCAGGCCTTCAACACCAGGCCTTGCCCATCATGGTGGACAGCTCCTGAGACCGTGAGCCCAAACCAACCTCTCCTGACACTGTTTTGTGAAGACCGGCACCACAATGGGAAGTCACTAAGACACCTGCCCCGACCTCTAAGAAAACAGAGAAAAGGAAAAAGAGGCCAGAACCAAAGAGGCAGAGATAGGCGGGAGACAGAGGCGGTGAGGGATCGGCTGCAGGTCACACTGCTCCAGCAGGGGAAACTCACGTGTGATAGTCTCTAACGCAGTAAATGTTGTTCTCCACATCCACGGTGAAGGGAACGCCGTCCAGACACTCGTTGCACACTGAGCAGCGGAAGCAACCCGGGTGGTAGGACTTGCCAAGGGCCTGCAGGATCTGGGGGAGGCACCGGAAAGTCAGCGTGGGCCAGAGACTCGGCACTGCCCCCAAGAGGCCACGGAGGCCTGGGACAGGAGAGGGTGGGGCCCTCAGACTCCACCCGGGGTTGGGGAACTCTGGGTCACAGGGGAGGCTCTCACCATCTCCATGATAAGGTGTCCGCACACGCTACACTTGTCAGCTGTTTGCTGGAACCCGGAGTACTGAGAGGGGACACAGGATCCGGGACGTCACGTGACAAAGGGGACTCAGTGCGGCGGGCCTCAGGTCTGCATGGGAGTCCGAAGAAGGGTCCCGCCCCTGCTCCCACCCAGCTCGGCCAGCAACACAGTGCAGACTCACCAGGAAGTCCTCCTGGCAGTACACTTTTTCCCCCACGTTATAGAAGGCCTTCCCGCGGAGTCGTCTCCCTGGAAGGGAAAAGGGGAGCTCCCTGGGATGCTAAAACCAGGAATGGAGGAACCTGGCTTGAATGTCAGTACTCACCTCCAGCCAATGAGAAAGTAAATTACGAGCATCTCTAAACATCCCTTTATAACTTTATGAGTGCTCTAACTGTATGTACATCTTTATGCCAGAAGAGGGCATCAGACACCACACTATAGATGGCTGTGAACCACCTCGTGAGACTAGAACTCGGGACCTCTGGAAGAGCAGTAGCCCTGCTCTTAGCCCCCTCTAAACATCCCGTTAATGCTGTGCTGGTGCTATAAACATTTCAAGCCAGAATGGTGTCTCGCGCCTGTAACCCAGCATCCCATAGGTGAAGGTGGGACCCTAACTTCTGAGGACAGCCTTAGGCTACAAAGACAGAGCTACTTCAAAACCCAGACGATGAAGCTAGGTGTGGTGGCACAAGCCTGTGATCCCAGCACTTGGAACATGGAGGCAGGAGGATCAGAAACTCAAGGTCACTCTTGGCTCCAAAGCCTAGGTGGAGGCCAGCCTGGTCTCTCCTAGATAAAAACAGTATTTCAGAAGAAACTGTAACAGTCGACAAAACTGTAATCAAAGCAAATACAGGAAGAGTGCCCCCCCCATGCCTCACCTGGCACTGCCATCCGGCAGGGGGCACCCTAGCTACTACCAATAAGAAGAAACTTCAGGGCTGGAGAGATGGCTCAGAGGTTAAGAGCACTGACTGCTCTTCCAGAGGTCCTGAGTTCAATTCCCAGCACCCACATGGTGGCTCACAACTGTCTGTAACTCCAGTTCCAAGGGATCTGATACCTTCACACCAATGCACATAAAATTAATTAGTTAAATAAATTATTTAAAAAAAAAAAAAAGAAGAAACTTCAACCTGGTGAAGGTGTCCGTGAAAAGCGCTAGGCTGCATCACGCACGCACGCTGGTGAGATACTAAATCGTTTTCCTCTGGAACAGTTTTGTGGCAGAGTATGGTGGCCCACACCTGTGATTTCAGATCTTAAGAGGCAGAGGCAGTAGGAGTTCGGGGCAAGCTTGAACTTGAGATATACAGGAACACCTTGTGTAAACACCCTCAGAGCTGGGGGGTGTGGCTCACTGGGGAAGACCTGCCTAGAATCCCCCAGTGAGGGGCTGGGGCATGACTCTGGGTTAGATTTCCAGTACCACAAAAAAAACAGGATTATTCAGTCTTGTACTAGAAGTTCCGGGCAGTACGTAATAATGAGACATATGGAATTATAGGCAACACAGACTACTTAGAAGTAAAGCTATCTATAATCATAGATGACATGATTGTGTTGTAGAGAAAACCACTAGCAACCCACTAACCCTACTAGGTTCATTATGATTGCAGGACAGGATAGAAGGCCAGCATATAAAAACCAAATGTCCAATAGAATTTTTATTCTGGCAACAAGTATTAGGAAAATGAAGCTATAATTTGTTTTGTTTTGAGACAGGGTTTCTCTGTGTAGCTCTGGCTGTCCTGGAACTCAGTCTGGAGACCAGGCTGGCATCAAATTCACAGAGATCCGCCTGCCTCTGCCTCCCGAGTGCTGGGATTAAAGGTGTGTGCCACCAACGCCTGGCCACAGCTGCAATTTTTAAAACTACATTTATGAGGCTGGAAAAGAGGACTGGTTAAGACTGCACACTGCTCTTGCCAAAGACCCAAATTAGGTCCCTTGCATTCTCATTAGGTGGCCCATACTGGCTGTAACTCCAGCTCCAGGGGGTCTGACACACTTTCCTGGCCTTTGCTGGCACTGAGCGAAACACACACAGAGACAGAGACACAGAGACACAGACACACACACACACACACACACACACACAAAATAAATAAGAAAAAGAAACCATACTGGCAACAGCATAAAGGTGGAAAGCAACGCTAAGGACACACTTAGGGAATTATGGGTAGGGCCATGAATGCTCTAAATCCAGACTTAGCCTGAGGAAATCTAAGAAGACACAGTTGGAGAAAGCATGGTGGGAGCCAGCTCCCCATGTCTTTTCATGTATCTTGCAGGCAAAGGCTAGCAGATCT